GAGGGGTATCCTGGAGGCTAAAGCAACATCCTAGTGGGAGAAGACCAGGCAAGAGCTAGAGAGGGGTAGCAAAGATGCAGAGGCGGCAAGACATTTGAGAAATCGTTAGGCGGTGAAACTGATTAATAGGCTGTGGGGGTCAGGAGGAAAAAGGAATCCACAAGAGTAGAAGAAAAGGAAGAGCTGGGGACAAAACTTTGGGGATTCCTACATCGTGGGGTCATATTTTGAGATATTTACAGGCTTTCCACTTTCCTGCATTTCCTCTTTCCCTCCCCCAGCCTCCCCCCTCCACAACAGCCCAGGGGGGTGAGGGAGAAGGAGGCAGAAACAATCTCTAACAAACCCTGGTTTTCACCCTGGCCCCTGATGAAGGTTAGGGTTTAGGACATGAGTTCTCAGCCAGGGATGATTTTTCCCTCCAAGGGACATTTGGCAATGTCTGGGGACATTCTTGGTTGTCACAACTAGGAAGGTGCTAAGGGGCATCTAGTGGGGAGAGGCCAGGAATGCTTCAGAACACCCTCCAGTGCACAGGACAGCCCCCACAACAAAGGATCATCCAGGCCAAAAGGTCTATAGTGCTGAGGCTGAGAACCCTGGGTTTAAGGGACAAGCAGAGTGGCTGGGAGGAGCACAAGATTCTCAGGCTTGCTTCAATTCCCTTGTCCTAATGAAAGCCTGGGAGTTAACCTTGAAAGTGCAGGCCCCCTGGGGTGCCTGGTTGCTCAGCCCATAGAGGGTGTGACTTGCGATCTCAGGGTCCTTTGTTGAGTTCAAGCCCCACACTGGGCGTGGAGCTTACTTAAATAAAAATTAAAAAAATTAAAGAAGCATTGCTAAGAAAGTGCAGACCCCCTACTGCTGCTGAAAAAAAAAAATCTCAAGAAGATACAAAGGAGGAAATGTTTTCTCTTATGGAACAGATGTCTGCCTGCCTCCAGGGCTAATTCTGATAAAGTGGACCATTGAAATGTTCACACAAAGCACGGTACCTACTCCCCTCCCATCGAGTGAGGAAACACTAAGGGTGTGCACCATCCCTTCGATGTTCTGTTAATGAACATCCTTGCAAATGTTATTTGCACAAAGCAGTCTTTAAGACGCCCAGATTTCAGCAATGTTGTTCTGGGTTCAACTACACCGTGTTCTGTGAACCTCTGACCCCTGGAAAGCTTAGAATTCTAACTGGTTGTCCTGGTAATGGTATTAAAAAAATTTTTTTTAATGTTTATTTGAGAGAGAGAGAAAGAGAGAGAGACAGACTGTGAGGGGGGGAGGTGCAGAGAGAGAGGGAGACACAGAATCCGAAGCA